AGTGATGGATGAAGTCTCCAAGATACAACTTCAAACATTGTTTTTTTATAGGAATATGCTAGTGAAAACTATTATTTTGCACATAAATATGAACTAGTTTTCATGATAAATCAATCTAATGATACTACTACTACTAGTAGTACTATTTTTTTGACTCATCCCAATATTTTTATTTTTTTTGACAAATGGTGGATTTATTGTCTCAAAATGGAGCATCAACAGGATACAAACATAGAGCACACAACCAACACCAATACACATAACAAAACATGCCGGCAAATAGCAAAGTCATATAAGACCAAAGCTATGCATGGACGAGGAAAAAGGAAAAACTCAAAGCGATAAGATCCGCGATTGGCAAACTACTACAATGACAATATCCGCACCACCATCTCATGACACCATGTTAGAGTACGTAATGGGCCTAATGTTTGGTATAACAATTTGGTATCAGCGAGCTTCGGTTCGATCATGTCTTCACCGCCGCCAAGCCCGTCTCTTCTGCTGCCGGTCACCTCGTCGCCTCCGGCGACCACCACGACCGTCGCCTCGCTCCTGCCCCTATCGGGATCCTCCGTCGCGCCCGCCCTCGCCGTCCTCACCCTGGAGGAGGTGTTTTGGGTGCTGCGGGACCTAACCCAGGCGGTCCAGGAGATCCACCTTTTATTGGCTGGGTCCTACGGGCCACCCCCAGCTGCGCCGCCCACGGCTGCGCCACCCCCGCGCCGCCGCACTAGGTGGCCTTCACCGCGCTCGCCGGACCGCTGCAGCTGCCATCCATGGCCACCATCGTCCAGCCCTGGTTGCAATGGCAGTCGCCGCTCCTCGCGGCCTCCGCCGCGCCCCGCACTCCGCCGTAGCAGCCGCTGCAGCTACAGCAGCCACCACTGGTCAGCTCCGCCACCCAATATGGGATGCCCTACGACGGGACTGCGACGACTTTGTTCCCATCAGCACCGCCGCCATCCCAGGGCGTCCACATCCAGCAGATCAAGTCCCCGCCGCCGCCATCACCTCTTCCGTCTGGGATCGCTACCCGCCACGTGTCGGCGGCGGTGAGACTGCAGGCTACTGTGTGTGGCCTCCTAGCGCGTCGGCGTGTGCGGGAGATGCATGGTCTGCAGCTGCCGCTCCTCCAAGTTGCGCTTCGCTGCGCAAAGGACCTCGATCTCGTCCACTGCGTCGGGGATCTTGGGCATGCGGTTTCCCCCATGGGCCGTGGCCATGCTATTTTCCCCGTGGGCAGCGATCTCAAAGTGTGCGACATCGGCGGTTGGGGGGGCGCACCCCTCCTCGACATTCTCCATCGCAAGCCCTCCACTCTTCCCCGTGCAGTGCAGACCAACAGCCATACACATGCACTCCTTTTGTCCAGGTTGTGTCCATGGGATCCAGGTGGTTGTACATATGCACGTCCAAAATAAAGCATCCCCGTCTATTTCAGGTCAAGAGTAATAACACAAGCCGAGATGTAAAATGCTTGTTTTTAGGTGTTAGATTTGTGTTGCGTCGAGTAATGTTTATAAGTTGGTTAGGTTGCAGCTTGAGGACAAGCTGCATGTCCAGGTGGGGTGTAGTGTTGGAGTACGTAATGGGCCTAATGGGCCCGTTAGTCTTAGGGTTAATTAGAGATATGAGTCGCTTGCTTAGGGGTAAAGTAAGCCTTGCTTGGGAGTCAAGTAAACCTCTGTATATAAAGAGAGGAGATGTATCAATCTAATCAAGCAAGAATTAACAAGGAAATCCCTTTCCTCTTGCCCGGCCGTGGGCAAAAGGCCCCCGGCCGGCCCTCTTGCGCCCTCCTTCTAGCAGCAAGCAAGGCTTACTTGAACCCTAAGCAACCCTTATCTCTAATTAACCCTAAGACTAACGGGACCATTAAGCCCATTACGTACTCTAACACTACACCCCGCCTGGACATGCAGCTTGTCCTCGAGTTACAGCCTAACCAACTTATAACCATGACTCGACACAACACAAACCTAACACCTAAAAATAAGCCTTTTACATCTCGGCTTGTTTTATTATTCTCAACCTGAAATGGACTGTGACGCTTTATTTTGGACCCCTTAACCAAAAGTGCACACCATCTGCATGTCGGACATGCACGTGTACAGCCACCTGGATCCCATGGACACCACCTGGACAAAAGGAGTGCATGTGTATGACCAACTAGAAGTGGTCGCAAGGGTGACCAGCAGAGGCGCCCTCACGGCGGCTGGTGGCGGAATGCAATGGTGCTAAGCGGTGCGCTGCTGTCGGTGACACCATGCCTTCTCCCTGCCGGACGGTTGTTGGTCTGCACCGCACAAGGAAGAGTGGAGGGCTTGCGATGGAGAATGACGAGGAGGAGTGCGCCCCCAACCGCCGATGTCGCAGACTTTGAGGTCGCCGCCCGCGGGGAAAACAGTAGGCCCGCCGCCCTTGGGGGAAACCGCATGCCCAAGATCCCCAACCCAGCGGATGAGATCGAGGTCCTCTACGCAGCAAAGGGCAACATGGAGGAGCGGAACCTGTAGACCACGCATCTACCGCACACGCTGACACGTGGCAGGTAGCGATCCAAGAAGGAAGCCACGCGCGTAGCCTGCAGCCTCACCGCCACGGACACGTGGCAGGTAGCGATCCAAGAAGGAAGCGATGACGGTGACGGCGGGGAATGGACTTGGTGGAGCGGGACTCCAGCCGACACGGTCGATACGGGACCGGAGCTGACCGGCGGTGGCTGCTGCGGTGGCGCACCGGGCAGCGGCAGCGGCTGCTGCGGCAGAGCACTAGGCGCGGCGGAGGCTACCAGGAGTGGCAGCTGCCACGGCAGCCAGGGGTGGGCGATGGTGGCGATGGATGGCAGCTGCAGTGGCCCGACAAGCGCGGCAAAGGCCGCCTAGTGCGGCGGCAGCCACGGCGGTGCGGGGGCGGCGATGGGCGCTGGAGGCGCGGCGGGAGCCGGCGTCGGCCACTGTGGGGCGGCGGCAGCAGCTGCAGCATCCCAGCGATCGCCGCGGAGGCCCCTGGATGCGGCGAGTACCACGGTAGGGCCGGCGGCCCGATGGCGACGGTCGGCGGCAGGGGCGGCGGCGGCCCGTAGGGGCTGGCCAGGTACAGCCGGATCCCCAGGACGGCTGTGACGAGGTCGTTGAGGACCCCGGTGATCTCCTCCGGGGTGTAGGCGGCGGCCGGTGGTGCGGTGGCGGCGCCGGAGGATGCGACCAGCGGCGCGGACGGGGAGGGCAGCGGCACGGTGGTGACGGTTGGCAGCGGAAGCGATGCGGTGGGCGGCGGCGAAGACATGATCGGAGCTGAGCTCTCTGATACCAAAATTTTATGGTGCTGCTAGAAGGAGGGCGCGAGAGAGCCGGCCGGGGGCCTTTTTGCCCACGGCCGGGCAAGAGGGAAGGGATTTCCTTCTTAATTCTTGCTTCATTGGATTGATACATCTCCTCTTTTTATATAGAGAGGTTTACTTGACTCCCAAGCAAGGCTTACTTGACCCCTAACCAAGCGACCCTTATCTCTAATTAACCCTAAGACTAACGGGTCCATTAGGCCCATTACGTACTCTAACACTACACCCCACCTGGGCATGGTACTCTAGCAGCACCATCTCATGACACCACCAAGATCCGCGATTGGCAGCGAGTTTCTTCAATAGCAACGCCTTCAAGAATGATCAACGCTCGAGCACCACGCCACCACCATCACCGGTTCCAACCATCTAAGGTAAGAACCTAGGTTTTCACCCTAAAAAATCAGTCTGAGCATATCTGAGCAATGCCCTCAACAAGATAACGACATAAAAGTGTCGACATTGCCATGTATATAACCAACACGGGTTAGACCTAGGCATTCACCCCGGAACTCAAGACCAACATCACTTGTCCATTGATAGTCGTATTTAGAAAAGTTCAACTGCAAATATAAGTTTAGCACACTATAGTTGGTGTGCATGATCTTGGAAGCATTTTTTTCATCCACATTGATATTAAAATGTACTTTGATAATCATAACTATTATAATATTGTAGATGAATAGAGTTTATCACGATGTAGTTTTTGTGCATGGCCATCACCAAAACAAAAAAGATACGGCGACATGAGAGTCACACACAGAAAGAGAGCAAGAGAGGTCAAACTTCAAATTTTATTTGTTTATGAGGTTTCCACAGTAATCATGGTTCCTGTCCTAATTTAAGAGCTGAACACATAAAAATATCACATATACACAACTGGAAGTGAAATTTATAAGCACGTATATGAATTTCACTCGATTCTGATCTTCTGGTGATCATCTGAAAAACTGGTATATGTGAATACACAGTGCAATAGTCAAACAATATTATTATGTACGGTCACAGACATGTGAAAAAGAAGGTATATATGTGTATGTTATCACAAAAATTTGTGAAAATAACATCTAAAACTAACATTAGTTTCATGTAGAATTAACCGTATCCACCATTTTGTTTTCCAAATTTATGTGGTATCGTTGCACACTTAAAAAAAAGGCTCATCCAGCGGTCAATTCTACCATATATCCACCATTTATAAACGTTAAAAGATACGGAGTACATCAGGGCTTCCTTGTGTTAGTAATTCCTTTCAACGAGCTTGAATTGACTACTTCCAGCAGAGAAGAAATCTGCTGCATGCGAACCAGGCACTGCCATTAACAGATCTCAGAAACACACGTGACCCAATCAGCTGTCTCCAAGGAGATCCTGGTCACAGCCACTCCTAGCCACAAGTACACAACAACACTATTTCCTGGCTCTCGATGCGCCAAGTGTTCAGAGAGAGCAACATATCTCTCCGGTACCAATGGCGTCAAAGCTCAAGATTTCTCTTTCTATCCATGTTGATCTTGTCAGCTTATACACCATATCGATCCCCTATGCCAGCTCGCTACCTTAAGTAGCCACCTCCCCCTCTCCTATCAAGCCATCCTCACACTCCCGCCTTTCTTTGAGAACCCCTACAGCAGACACTTTTCTTAGCTCTACAATGGCGGCAACCACCACATCCCTCTCCTCCTCGACCTTTGCCGGCAAGGCGGTGAAGAATGTACCATCGTCAGCTCTCTTCGACGAGGCCCGCATGACCATGCGCAAAACTGCAGCGAAGGCTAAGCAGGTTTCCTCTGGCAGCCCATGGTATGGTGGTGACCGGGTGCTCTACCTCGGCCCACTCTCTGGTGAGCCCCCGAACTACCTGACCGGTGAGTTCCCCGGTGACTACGGATGGGACACCGCTAGGCTTTCAGCTGACCCGAGACCTTCGCCAAGAACCGGGAGCTCGAAGTGATCCACTGTCGTTGGGCCATGCTCGAAGCACTTGGTTGTGTCTTCCCGGAGTTGCTGGCCCGCAATGGTGTGAAGTTCGTTGAGGCCATTTGGTTTAAGGCCGGCTCCCAGATCTTTAGGGAGGGTGGTCTTGACTATCTTGGTAACCCCAGCCTCGTCCACGCGCAAAGCATCCTAGCTATTTGGGCATGCCAGGTTGTGCTCATGGGTGCCGTTGAGGGGTACCGCATGGCCGGCGGCCCGCTTGGCGAGATCGTCGATCCACTATACCCGGGCGGCAGCTTCGACCCTCTTGGCCTAGCTGACGACCCTGAGGCATTTTCCGAGCTCAAGGTGAAGGAGATCAAGAATGGTCGTCTTGCCATGTTCTCAATGTTTGGCTTCTTTGTCCAAGCTATAGTCACGGGCAAGGGCCCTCTTGAGAACCTTGCTGACCACATCGCCGACCCTGTCGACAACAATGCATGGGCAGTCGCCACCAACTTTGTCCCCGGCAAGTAAGGTGTCTTGGGACTATACTCGCCTAAGGCCTGTTGTCTTGTGGTCTGAGTTGTACTATCATGATGTAAATTATGAAAATTTTATGCAAAAGCATTGTTAGATTTGTCCACCTTCCATGTCGCAGCTTGCACCGATTTAACTGTTTTTTAGGATCACAATCACAATAACAGGAGCAAATAAACACTTTCCGGTGGGCTTAATTAACTATTACCGTATTGTGCCTAGACGAGTGGCAACTTATATAATCACGTGTGCAGGTGAATTTGTGGGGCCCGAGTGCAGCGAAGCTTTATGTTTCGTGTATATTCTGCCGGCCTTCCATCAAGCCAACCATGAGAAATGATCTAAATCCATCCCACTCAATTGCAAGGCCATGATTTTGTTTAATTTCTTATTTTCCAACCAAACAGAGTGTGTCCAATTATACTGCAGCAGTGATTTTTCAGATATCTCTACATTTTTACTTTCTGATTTGGACAATTTAGAGACATATATAGACATTGATCTAGTAATCAAGAATGACAAACCCTCTCGCCACATATTCGTGTTCGGCTTCTAAGTGCACAGGGGTCATCATTCTCACGGGCTATAACATCGTTAGATTTGTCCATTGCATAAGTGCCTCCGTGCTACTACCTAAAATTTATCAAACCTAACATAAAGCGACCACCATTGTTAGTAACTCCTAAGATGAATGCAAGTAGGTCTAGTATATGAATCCAAATTAATCCCGGTCTCCTGACAGCTAGAACAACATTGTGTCCTACACGATCATCCCCTGTATCCCATGTCGCAATCACCACCCTCTCGGCTGATGCCTCGCTGCCCCTAAACTAAGGCTATTCTGTCTGCAAATGTCAATCAACTAAGAACTACCAAACTTCTAGACATTTTTATACTGGTCCAGTGCTTGAACCAATCTTTTCTATTCTTACCCAATTTCACCACACAACTAATATTTATCATTTTCACCTGATACATGACCTAAATAATAGCCCAACATTGGAGAGTGGCGTTTTGGCTCCTAGGTGCATATGCACCCATTGTCGAAATCCAAATTCCGAGAAGTTGAAAAATTCGAAACAAAAATCCCGCGTGTATATACGGACATTTTATGTGCGTTCACAAGGTTTCGGTGAAAAACGACGTTTTTTGTGGCTTGTGTAAAAAAGACAATTTCTGATGCTTCATTCTAACTATTCACGAGGCATTTCTTTATACGTCGTTTTTCACTGAAACCTTGTGAACGAACATAAAATGTCCGGATATACACGCGGGATTTTTGTTTCGAATTTTTTAACTTCTCGGAATTTGGATTTCGACAATGGGTGCATATGCACCTAGGAGCCAAAGGCAATTACCGCCAACATTGTACCATCAACAAGATTGTATCTACCCCAACTAATTGCCCTCCCCCAACCCAACCACTCCAGATGAAGCCTTCACCCTCCCCTCTCCCCATATATTTCAAGCAACCACTCCTTTCTTTCACAAAAAGAACTCCCGAAAGCGACCACATCCCAAAGCCATGTGGTTCGGTTCACGACCGGGCGTTGATCATGTGGTTCGGTTCACGACCAGATAACTGAAGTGGGAACAAAATATCACTATGGGGAAATCGTCAATTTAGTCAGGGATGGGGGTGCGAAAAGGCAGTCGCCGATGCTAATATTGCAGTGGATGACAAAGAATTGGAGGCGGAGATGGGTGGGCATCCACCTTAAGATCATGTGCGTCCCTATTTTGGGTAAATTTATTATACAAAAATTAGAGAATTAATATTTTTGTTAACACATATAAGACTAGATAGACATTAAGAAAATATACTTTTACATATCCTACCTATTAAAATGTTCTAAATAAATACTTTTTCACAAATTTAGAAAGGATAAGGTGGCATCAGAATCAATGATGTTGCAAATGTAGAAAGCTTTTTCGTTTTTGAGTGAGTATGACCCTTTTTGCCCGGGGGGGTTCAGTTTACCATATTTCTGTGCTAATTTAAGAGCTAAACACATAAAAATCAAACATACATAATTTAAGTTAAAATTATAAGCACGCAGATGAAATTGACTCAACACTGATGTTTTGAAGTACTATGTGAATTTATACCGCAATGTTGTGAAACAATAATATTATTTGTAATCACACGCATGCAATGTATTTGGAGTCATCTAGGATCAGATAAAAACAATGATATAAATGTATACGTTATCCCATAAATTTTGGGAAACTAACATCTTAAACACACACTAGTTTAATGTCAAAGTAATACTCTCCATCATTTTATTTTCCTAATTTATGTTGTAATGTTAGGCACTTTGATTTTTTTTTGCTCAAGATTACTAAGAACGGATGGATATTTTTCATTTAGGGTTAATTAGTAGTATTTTTATTTACCAAACGTAACATGTTTATTTCAGTAGCAGTATAATGAACAAAAATAGCCAATGGAACCTGAATCTAGATGCACCC